TTCGTACGATGCTACGTAAAATTTAAAAAAGGAAAATAATAACGCGAGAACGATAAAAAATATTTGTGCTGTTGTCTATATTCGCAAAACTATTTCAAATGTAAGGTTTTGTTGTAAAAAAAAGAATAATCATTTTTCAACCATTTGCAGTTTAAAATTCTGCGAGTTTATAAAAAGTTACGGATGCCATAACGAAAGGTCACTTCGCGTGAGCCAGTGTTATATCGCGATGATATTTTTCACAAGCAAATCGTTGAGAGATCAAAGACTTAAGCTCGATTCCAAATCGATTGCGATACAATGTGATCTGGTAGACTAGAGGATCGAAATATGACTACTGTTCTATCCCTGGCATGAATCGGGCTTAAAAGGGCCCACCTAATTCACCATTTATCGTGCTTCGTGCCAAGGGATTACGGATCTGCGTGCCGATGCCGTAGGTAGCAGTAGGTCAAAGAGAAAAAGCTCGAGTAAGTGGCCTTCATCCCCGAAGGTGGGAACGAGGCGAGAAAAGGAAAGCAAAGAGCTCGGGGGTTGGAAAGTAGAGTGCGATGGTAGTATCGACCCCAAAGCTGCCCGGAGCAAGATGGGAAGCCAGGAAAAGGAAGTAGGTGGCGGGAGGGGAGGGGGCGGGTCGGACGAAGAGATGAGGAGAGGACGAGGTTGGTTAGTTGTCGTGTCTCAATCTGTTAAACTCACAGCTCGATTACTAGCTCTAGAAATGGAGGAAAGTTACGGGAGCGTCGAGAATCGTAGGTTGGCGTGATATGAGAGCAGGGCACTGCCTGTTAACCCACAAAACTCAATCAACCCGCGTTCACTCGTTCGGCCCGGCTGTCGCTTTAAACAATTAAAAGCATCCAGCTGTCGAGAGAATGAGAAAAGTGACAACGAGTAATGCGCGGAAGTTACGCCGTATCCGTCGGAAATATTTCCATAGTCGCCCTCGACAATGGGGAATTTGCGCAATTAAAGACCACGGGCGCGTGAAGGGCTAACAAGAGGTGTTTCTTGTGGTGGAATAACACAGCTGCTATGTTAACAGATAACATGCTGTCGTATTTGTCGAGTCGCCGAATCGAGCGCAACGTCATTCGAACGAGTAGAAAAAGGATTTTAAGACGGCTTATACGTCACGTTCCTTTGGAATTAGATATCAATGGGGATAATCGAGTATCTTAGTCGAATTGAGATTAGCGATGGGATTGATTATTAACATTAACTGTTAGTGTATAATATTTATTTAAACTGCAAGATGCAAATAGTATTAACTATGCCTTTTTTTGAATTTCATTTTAAATGTTATAACAAAAGAAATAAATTTTTAATTACTTGTATATAAATATCTATTAAAATATTAACTTCGATTTGGAGAATTTATTTTTTATCATCAATATTATTTGTACACGCTAATGAGGAAAACAACTGAGATTTGCAGTATGTAATCCTTTTACTTATCTTAACGTGATAATGCATTTCATCCTCGAAGAAGATTCGATAACGCAGAAATTGCCATTATAAGTTTAGGCTGCATAGAGAGTCACCTAAATCACGAACTATTAAATTCCTGAAAGTATCAGCCGAGTTGATCAGAAATGATATCTTCCTTATGGATTATGGAGACGACGCAGGTTTCAATAACTCGTCTTGGGGTAATCTTCCTTTAAATTCAAAATCATCACGATGGTATCGGGGATGATGAGTTCTGTTGTCATTTAACCCCCGTTTAACGAATTATGCAGAAAATTCAATCCGAGTTCGAGTGCTCGCTCTATCATTTACTTCTGCTATTTCGTAGGCCGGCAGAAGATATCTTTCACACAACCGAGAAGATTTCTGATATCACAGTCTCTCTCTCTCTCTCTCTCTCTCTCTCTCTCTCTCTCTCTCTCTCTCTCTCTCTCTTTCTCTCTACTCACACACTCAGAAATCGAAATGAAGAAGTTATCGGAAACAAATATGATATAAACATAAATTTTATAGGTGAAAACTGATATATAGCACGATTGTACGTGTAGCCAAGAAGAAACGTTTTATCACCTGCCGCGATCGTCGTTCGCATACTTGAAGATTGCACCAAGAGACCCTTGGCCTTTACATCCTGTTACAGCCTTACTCTCTCGCCATTTCGATGCACCCTAAAAACTCTCGACGGAATCGATGCCACGCTTCTTTTGCCAAACACTTTGACTAAGGTCGATCGATTCTGTTAACCGGGGGCCTTTCGTTGTCGGCCGGTATCGAATACTGCCTCGCGTGTAAGCGATTAAGGCGTGGGTGCTAGGTAATTCTAATGCAAAACCCGACGTGATTGATTGCTCGCACTCGCGCGCCGCCTTCGGCCAGAAACCGCAGGGGTACAACAGAAACCGCCACAGGCTCTGCTGACTTTCGGTGACAAAGTGTTATTTCGTTCGAACGGCCCAAATATCTATAGAAACATCTATGTGTTGTTGATTTTGTTTTTTTTTTTTAACACAAATTTTCAATAATATGAATTTTTCATCGGAATACGTATATAAAATAGCCGTGGCATTAATGCCACGCAGGGATTAAAGGGATGAAAATTTGCTCTTCTTTATTCGATCAAGCTTTTACATGAATATCCTGGCGAATTATTCCTTTTATATAAAAAAAGAAAAAAAGAAGCTCTATTAATAATTAAACTTTGATGAAAGGACAATTTCGACGTTTAAAGATTAATTATTAGAAGTATTATATAAAATTAATTATTATATAATGCACTGGGAAATAGCCGGTAATACGATTCGAGTGATTGTGTGTTGAAAATTGTGCGTGTAATGCTTATGCGAGATATTATTTGTACATGTGCGTAATCTGATGATAAATAATTCGAGGACTGTACAGCGTGCAGAATAAAGCGGATAATATCATACCAGTCGTAACAAAACGGAGTAATAAAGTTTAACAAACAGGTTGATACATCTTTGACCTACTAATGCAATTGTTAAGTGCTATATAAACTTCCAGAGAACTTTTCCTTTTCTAGAGACATTATGTACTAGGAAATCTATCAGATGGAAGTGGACGGCTCCACTTTTTATCATTGATATAGCAATGCATGTTGATATAACAAATTGTAAACATAGCGTGAATAATTTATAATAATATAATTCTTTTATACAGAAATTTCTCGCGCATCTTTCGTTTGCACGTCCATCTCCGTTTATTTTCTACGTCACACTTTTTTCATATAGCTCCAATCTCTGCAATTACAAAATTTCTGATGGCCATATCTTTTAATTCATGGTAGGTCTTATAATCTCCGGCGGGGTCTGCTTAAGCTCCTAGATTAGTTCCTTGTTAATAGAGATCTCGGTGCCCAGGAAAAGAAATTGCTTAATACTTTGACCACGTCCGTCCCTTCCCGTTTGCTCTCGTTATCAATTCGCAACGAGCGACTTTTTTCAGAAGGGTATGCTAATTATCAGCTTAAAAACATTTTGACGATGTAATACTGCAATGCGTCACAAGTTAATGACAAAACAAGACAGCATCGTAAAAATTCTAAAGCTTTAAGGATCACGTAACCTGCGCTCGCTTTAATTTAGTTAAAAAACGACGTGGACTCTCTCACATAAATTGATCGGAAATATCCTGCCATCGCAAATCGTACCTATAAATTATTATGGAGGTATAAAGTATGGAGATTCTTATTTCCGCGGGATTTCAAAAAGAGAAGAGAGGAATCTCTCGCTATAGCGGTCGAGATGGCACAATGCCGCACAAACAGCCTGACCCGAGAGTGCTGTAGAAACAGCGGGTCCTTGGTCGCCGTCGTCGACATTATCTCGAGTGGTGTCTGGATGACGTTAAAGCTTCGGAGTTAAAGGAAGGGAAAAGGAAGGCGAGCCCCAAGTGCGGATTCGCTAGTTACGATCGATACGCGACGGTTTCTAGGTCAGGGTCCCGATACACACTCGCCACTCACCACCGCTCAGGATATACTCAAAACGCGACCCGCAAATTTATTCGAAGCTAACCCGCCGCCGCCGTCGCCGTCGCCGCGTAACGCCAACAAAATGGGTCTCCCATCTTTCATCCCATTCTTTCCTCTTCCGCTTCTGTGACGGCTCTCGCGACGGTCGATTTCGCTGAAAGCTACAAGCGGAGTCGAGGATTACACGCGGACTTACTTTCAGCGCGTAGGTCTGTTCCGCGCGGCGAAGAAGGAAAAATTCACTGTTTCCTCCGCCGAGGGACGGGACGGGACGGGACGGCGTACGTGAGCTTTTCAAGTCGTCGTATTGAACGTTTCCCACGCTATCGAGATTAATGACGCGCTTCCGTCGCGAACGCCTCGCGACGGATATGTAGGTGGAAAGAAAAGAGCGCTATGTATGGAGCGCGCTCGCGGGATTCTACCGCGTTATTTCCGCGCGGATTCGCGG